AAAAAATTTGAAATAGAAAAATGTATCATGCAGATACTTACCAAAATGAATTTAAATTTTGGCGATTCATCTCACTTTTTAGTCTATTTTATCACTTTTTTTGTTACCAAATGCACACTTTTTTCCGTCACAAATCAAGTTTCATTTAAAATTTTCGAAAAGGAGCAACCGGCTTGCTAGAGAATAAATTTTTAAAACAAAAAATGACAGCACCTGGCGTCGATATCTATCTCACTCTATTGTTTTGCGCTAGAATGCAACAAATTTGGATAATTGAAGATCATAACCACGTTCGGTAATGCGATTTGTTTCCTGTAATTTGTATCAAATTTGCCATGAGGTGTATTCTTGGTTGCATAAATCGGAAAAATATTTTGAGCAAATTAATTTTGAAATCAATTTTTATAGTACAGAAAAGCCTATAAAATGGAAGAGATTTAGAACTACAGGAAAATAAATATAAATTATTTGTATGCATATATGATTAGGATTGTTCTAAACTTCTTTTTTTTTTATTTACAAAAAATCCGCTTCAACCTAATAATAGCGGACTTAGTAAATTAAAGTATTTTAAAAACATAAGTAAACTACAGTGTTTTTTGAATAAAAAATGTCTTTAAGAAGGTTTGTTAAATGGTATTTAATTCTATGACGATTGAACTGTTCACACTTCTCCACTAATACATTGTTTTACCGTAAATTGTGAACCGCACTTTTCACAAATTGGGCATTCTTTTTTCTTAAACAAATGTTCATGAGAAAACTGGGTATGTCCAAGTCGTAAATGGGAAATAGTTTTTTGCTTTCATCTGGATACTTCGGGTGGTTGCCATGGTCCAATCTTATTTTTTATCTCTTGAAGCTTTTGATGATGTGAATTTTCATTTATTATTCCAGTTCTCGAACAGGTGCTTTATGAAGCAACTTTTTAGATCCATACTTACAGATTGGGATGATCTGGGGATACTGTTGTCTTTTATAGCTTCTTTTTGCATTGTTGTCTGCTGTTTCGTTAGGTACCTGCTATTCCAACATGTGATGGAACCCAGAGAAACTTAATGCTTGTATTTTTAGTATGCAATTTATTTAGTTCTTTCTTTATTAGTAAAGCTAATGGATGCTGCGTGTATATTTTCCTGATTATTTATAGTAATTATAGGTATAGAAGCTGTCACGATTAATATTTTGTTAATTTTATTTGCATTTGCGTGTAGTATTGCTTGGTAAATTTAATAGAGTTTTCCTGTTAATATAGTTGCTGTATCTGGAATTGTATGTTTGAGAATCTCTGTTGTAAGTATTGCCACCTCGACTCCATTTTCAGTTTTAGACGCGTCTGTGTAATCGGAATGGGAGTTAATTAGATCTCTGAAGAGTTGTATGATAAGACTAGGGTTGGTGCTATTTTTTGGAAATTGTTATAGAATTTAAATATTGGAAATGCTGCATTTTCGGCGTTTTGTCTTCCTGGCAGAAAAACGTTGTCAAAAACGGAAAAAGACAATGATTGGACTCAAAGATTGCCTATCAAAGTAAATCATTTATAGAAATGACTTACATATTAGTAGTGTAGGACAAAGTTAGTAAGTTGTTGATAACACTTCCTGTTGGTTCTTCTCGGCTAGACTTTGTTTTTTAGACTAATCAATGAATCTTTTATGATAGGCCAATTTCCCAATAGAAAGGAATCCAAGGGATTTCCAATTTTTAAAATTAAAGGTTCTACAAGTAATATTGAGAATTATCATTTGATTTGTATACTCAGTCAAATTGCAAAGCTGTTTTAACCGACATTCTGTGAAAGACTAACAAGCTATCTAGAAGCATTTCATTTACTGCCAGATGTCCAAAATGGGTTCAGGAAAGGCAAATCTATTGTAAGTGATGTTGGTGACTGTCTATGTATCATGAAGCTTAATGAAAACAACATGTTGGGTCTTTTTTATGACCTCAGTTGTGCTTTTGACATTGTGGATCACAGGCTGCTTCTGATGAAGATGGAAGGTATGTGAGTTAGAGGTATACCACATAACTGGGTAAAATCATATTTGTTAAATCGTTTGCAAACAATAATATTAGATGGTACACAAGGTTCAGTTCTTGGTCCTCTCTTCTTTATTGTTTTTATCAAAGATATCAACCAAGTTTGCACTACACCTAATCAAATTATTGAATATGCAGATGATACAAGCTTCATTATATTACCATCAGTTTGATCAGCTTGTTAGCAAGGGCAATACATCATCTCAGGAATTTAGTAAGTATTGCAAAGACAACAGCCTTAAATTAAATATAACAAAAACCAGTTTCATTAGATTTTTACCAAAGAATATAGCCCCTGACTATGATCCTTATCTATATATTGATCACAAGTCCATTTAAAATTCTGAAGTAATAAAATTTTTAGGACTGATGCTAGATCCAAAGCTAAGTGGGTAAGATCACATAGATAAAGTAACCTTGACACTAATAGTTGTTGTTATGTAATTAGAAATATAAGGAATACTGTATCCTTCCATATATTAAAACTAATGTACTGTGTGTAATGTAAATTAATATATTTCCAATAAATTCAGACAATCACTATTACAATACAAGAATGCTGAATCTTAATGAGTTCCTAAACACAAAACATCCAAATTTCAAAATTGCTTCAGATATATGGGACTGATTTTATACAATCATTTGCCAAAAACTGTGAAAGAAATACCACTTTACTCTAAATTAAAAAAAAATAAAGATTTACTCTTAAGAAAAGTATATTATTCTATAAATGAATATCTTGAGGACAAACTGCAGTAGCTTCATATTTGACTTGTAAAAATGTTATTTTATATATTTATGTTTTGTCAATTTTGTTACACTCTGAATTATTGTATTATACACATTAATGTTTTTTATACTGAATTCTGTAGTGACATATCCTATACATTATTTTGAATGTCTTAAAGGATCAATAAAGTATGACTATGACTTGGTACAGTCAGTCCTTCAGTACTGCTTAATATTTTGGGGTTCATCTCCATATATGAATAGAGCTTTTATATCTCAAAAACGCCTGAAGGATAACACGATCAGCATTTTTCCTACCTGGGAGTCACACAGCATGCTCCTAGCTACATGACATGTCAGTGACACATAAAATGCATCTTGGCACTATTAAATGCTTTGAAACTTGAACAAAATCTAAAAACATTTCTAGTTAGCCATGCTTTTTACAGTATTGAAGAATTTTTAATGTATGTCTTGTAATGCACTAAACTTTTAATAATGTATATATACATTTGTACAACATATTTTTTTGACTAGTCAGATAAATTTGTTTAATGCTGTATATATTGTATAAATTTCTAGAGGAATAAATTCTATCTATCTATTTATTACACCATCACAAATTGTTCTTAAGATAAACATTGCTGTATAAAATTGTCAGCAATAAAGATCACTTCTCAGTACAGAAGCTAGTTAGTGACATATCATCATCATCAGTGGCATTACAGCTCGCTATAAGCTGTAATGCTTCTTCAGAACAATCTTCCATTCGCTCCTGTCTCTGGCAACTCATGGACTTTAGATCATCCTCTATGTAATCTTGATACTTAAGTTTTGGTCTTCCTCTGGATCATCTTCCCACTGGTACTCTTCGGTGAAAATTTTTCTGATCTTTGCATCTTCATCTCGCTAATTACATGCTATCCATCGAAGGCATGCTAATTTAATAAATTTAACATCGGGTTACCCAAAACTTCTGTATAATTCAAAGTTGTAGCACCTACGCCACAAGCTTTGTTCTTGGACTCCTCCATATATTTTCCTTAGAATTTTTCTCTCAAAACGTCTATGCAGTTCTTGGTTGTTCTATGTGAGTGACCACGTTTCTGACCCATATGTTAACAATGGTCTTATTAGTGTTTTATATATGGTAATTTAATTTTTCTGCATAGTTTTGGGGCGATCTGTTTCCTCAAGCCATAATAGCACTTATTAGCAAGCACTAATTCTTCTTTTAATTTCTTCGCTGACTTTTAATTCTGTACATATCAGTAATGTGTTATCTCCAAGTGAGTCATTTATCTATATCCAATATACTTGATGTTTTTTTGTTAAATTTGAATGTGTTGCTCTTAATGTAAATGCTTGAGGGACGATATTTGCTTGAGATTGTCATACATGCTTAAAGTATTGATTTAATAGATCAGATTTATTGAATGTAGAATTAAAATATTGTAACACAAATTGTTAGTGTTTTTTGTATATTAATGAGTTATGAATAATACAATCTAGTGTTGACCATAGTTGTTTTGTGCCTCTTGCAATTTATTTGAGAAATAATCTTGTTTCTGCTGGATGTCACAGATTATATCTACAATGCTGATAGTAGAAATTTCTCAATTACAAACTTGGCTACCACTGAGCCTCAGAATGCACATAAGTAATCATTAACACTGAGACCTGAGCTACATTACAAGAACAAGATGTACAATACACCAATTGGTTGCATACAGCCAGTTTGTAACAACAAATGGCTTCCTCAAATGACACCTTTTAACATACTGTTAAATGGGTGGCTTTATTTTATTTCAGTGTAAAGAAGAAAAATATTTTTGTTTCTTCAAAAGTCTCCTTCAGTTTCAACAAGATTTATTTAAGAGACAAAGTTGACTTGTTTACTTCAAATCATTTCCAAAATGGTTGAATAGAGCTCAATTTCCTAATAGTTATCTAAAAAATGTCTTGTAGTGACTTTTTTTTGATATGATACACTTTCCAGTTAAATTAAGCCTCAAAAGTAATTCTTTTCATCTGCAGATGTTATATACTTTTTTTTCTAGTATTTTATTGTTTAATAACATATTTAATATATTGTTCATTGTGATACTATTTCATAAAAATTTTAGATCAATTATTTTGTATGTAGTCTTCTTAAAAGAACTCTACATAATTTCTTCAATATACCCACAAATTACTGTGTAAACTAATTGATCCAAATAATACACAATTTATTATAAATACCTTGTATTTATACTCTTTTTAAATCTTTTCATTTACAAAATAACAAAATTTTAAACTGATTCTTGTACTGGTGGTTCGTATCCCTCAGGCCTGTCGACTTTAGAACCAGCTTCACCAGTGGAGTCACCAGCACCACCTTTGCCTCCATCACCGTGCAATTCCAACAATTTGGAGAGTTCAAAACGAGGCTTCTTCAATACCTGAAACAAAATGTTTTTTAAGCTAGGCATTGATATTCTACATATATTTGGAAAAGAGTTTATTTGACAATTATTTTATTTCAACAAAAACAACTGATAATAATTGAAAAATGTATAAATGTTCAAGAAAAGCAAGTAACTTGTATATTACTCACAATTGCCAAAAAATTACTTGCTCTTTCCAATTTAGATTTGAACCAAATATACTTACTTTAACTTTACGGATGTATACATCATGTAGGGGGTAGATACCCTGGCAGGCCTTTTCAATATCCTTGGCTATGCTGTCAGGAAGGAGCTTATTGACTACTTCTTTAATGTCTGAGCCCTGGATGTCTCTGGTAATAATGTCTACCATCTTTTTACGGATAGCTCTAACCTAAAACAAGTAACAGTACAAATTTAATATAGTATAAATATAATTTCTGATCCAAAAGTATAAAAGATCAGTTAAATCTCAGTTTACATATTTTGCGTTGGATATGGAACAAGTTTTCATCATGTTCGTATCAATGCGAGCTAGGTAAATCATCATGCTAAACTGATACATAGTTTGGACTTCATCTAGAGAATGTTACTGTGCTGGTAGCTACAAAGAACATCCATAGAATGAAATATTAGTTTTTGGCAATGTTACCATTTTCTTATAATGTATATGATGTATGCCTCAAATATAAACAGAAAGCTTTGAAAAAGTACATTTTTATTATATTAGTTTATGGATTCAGTAATTTTTTATTTATATAAAACACAAACAAAAAATATTTGTGTCTTTTGATATTAATTACAGTTAGCTATTAGAATTTTTTTTGCAATTATCCTTTGATAGATTAGTAAATAGATTTGGCAATATTAATACTCAAACTACCAGTTGCCTGATTGCAACAGATGTCTTTTTAATTTTTTTGATTGCATGTTTCACTTGTAACGTAAATTTCAACACTGCCAAACACTAATATTTCGATGTCAAACTCATTTGAGGCTATTTTCACAGAGACCAAAAATGTGAAAAATGGGAAGATTTTCACATTTGGTCCCATTGAAGATAGCTTCAAATGGGTTTGACCGAATGAAATATTGGTTTTTCGCAGTGTTTAAATTTACATTACAAATGAAATATACACAATTAAAAGCAATAAGATATTTAAAAACTAATATTTAACGATTACGAAAAAAAGAAAAAGGAAATAGTTTTAAAACATTTTTTAACAGTAACTAGTAAAATGTCAGTATAAATAATAAAATTTAAAAGGCATCTGTTGCAATCTGGCAGCTGGTGGTTTGAGGGTTCTGACTCTATTGCCAAATATATCCGCTAACCTATCAAAGGGCAACTGCAGAAAAAATTTTCTAATAATTTATTACAACTAATAGCAAATGAAACAAATACTACTTCATTAATATTTTATATAAGGTATAAAATTGTAGAATCCATAAAATAATATGATAAAAATGTACCTTTTAAAAGCTTTATCTATTTGTAGTTGAAGCATATAACATATACATTATAACAACATGTCAACACTGCCAACACAATATTTCCTTCTATGAAATTTAATTGACAGCTAATTTGAGGCTAACTCAATGGGACCAAATGTGAAAATCATCAGAAAAATGTCATTATTTATACTGAAATTTTACTATTTACTTTTTCCTTTTTGATAATTGTAAACTAGTAATTTTACAATCTTATTGCTATTGACTGACATTTTTAATGTCAATTTCGCAACATCACAATGTTCTCTAGTTCCTTTGTCCATAGTTCTTTTTAAATAATAATTATGATACTAATTTTTTAAGTATTTAAGAAGTACTTACTTGTGTATGTTGAGCATAGCATGTTTTCCTTTGGGAAAGTTGGTCTTTGTTGGTAAAACCTATGCAGAACACCCTAAGTAAATATCCATCAGATGTCTTGACATCAGCAGATGCTTCAATTAAGGTTTGCCATTTCTTAACCATGGACCTCAGTTTGTCAGTGGTTAAATCCATACCGTGGAAATTGGTTAAAACATTTCTACCTACAAAATAAAAGAAATAATTTAACCAATTATCATGACTTTTCAGATATCACGCTACTACAGAAATGTAGTCAAAACAAGCAAGTAATGGCCCTTTTTAAAATACTCTTTTTATTTTTATAACGTTTATAAAGCTTTAAAATTACACAGTATGGTTATTATTGGTGAGAGAATAAAAACATGTGCTTACCTTGAACATCTTCAGCTATCAAACGGAATTTTCTGAAAGACCTTTCTGCGTCATTATCATTTTGTAAATCAGCTAAAGATACTTCAAAAACTCTGAATTTTAAACCTTCAGAGGCAATTTTGGTACCTTGGGTACGGTTAACCAAAGTTTTGCCGACCTGCCGGGTGGCAAACATTGATGGAGCTTTCACATCGTACCAGTCTTTTCTTGTGAAGGGATCAACACTAAAAAACGAAAAGTTTAATAGATTACAGCACACGTTTTGTATAAAAATATTGTAAACAAGAAAATCATAACCTATAAAATCCTAATATAAATTACATATTAACGAGAAAACAGACAAACTGAACTATTTACTTTAAAATAATGAACAAATTTATTCATTAAACACATACTTTATTACAAAAACAATAATTTAGTTACAAATGTTTGTAGAGCATGAACTTAGTATATCCACTTTATTTTAATACATCTCAACAAATTTACAATTCCAATATAGACTAAAAAGATGGTCAGATATTTTAAAACTATTTAGTAATCATATTTAATACTTACACCTTCTTTTTAACTCCCTTTTTGCCACCTTTTGACAAACCCTTATTTTTACCGACGGCCATGATTGCTGTCGTACTTGCAAAAGAAAATTAAGATGGACTATTCGAAATGTCAGGTGTCGGTCTGTCAGTTTTCTACTTCTACTTGAAATGGTCTTGTCATATGTGGCTATAAAAACATATAATTTTGTTGAGTACTTCTATGAAAGTACTATTTTTAAAGCAAAGTACAAGTCGTAGTACAGTTGTAGTCGTGTTTTTAATGCAATTCCTACAATGATCATATATACTCTACGATATAATTAATAAATTTAAATTTTTACATAGAGATGCCAAATTCATTATTCAAATGTAATTTAAATTTCATAAATTTCAAACTTAAATATCATATTAATGCTTCACAAGATACTTGCAAAAACTGTAATTTGATTTTTGAATTTAAATGGTTAAAATAAACTAAATTAGTTGTTGAAAAAAATTAAAAAAAAAAGAAGTGGGACAGGGGGGCAATAAAGTGCCTAACTTCAGGTTTATTTTCCTAGAATTTACTTCTTATCAAATTTTCAATCAGGTTATTTCAGGTTCAGGGTATATACCAGAGCATATGCACTGGAGTCTATAGTTTTCATTCTAAACATTCTAAACAAATTTGATTGCAGTTTGTTGGAGTGCGGAAGTGTAGTGTTTTGAAATCAAAATGCATCGGTTACTTCTATTTTCGGTTTTATTTTTACTGACATGTTGCTCAGTTAATGCACAGAATAAATATACGCCTATTTACAGACATTTTACTTATGGAACAAATAATACAATGATGGCCAATCAATATCTCGAATATATTTTGGAATTCTCGAAAGATTATGTAAGTATGTAGTATTAAAGTGCTTTGATAAAGTTTTGCAGGATTAAATTATTACATAAATAGGATAAATCTAAAGGTAGCCATACACCTAGAGGAAATACTCAAAACATAATCTCTGGGATTTCCCTACCCTAGATATTTTTCTCCAATGATCTTTGACTATGAACTAAGAAGAATTAGTCTCACTTTAATGTTAATAATGTTATAATATATAGTTAAGGTATTATTTTTTTATTTTATTCTATTATTGACTCATTGATACTAATACAAAATTTAAACCAAACAATAATTTTTTTCTATCAACTGTATTGCCATCCTAGGTAATTTTAAAGCCCTGTAAAATCTGGCTATTTCTATGTAATTCTCTAGGTGTTCCTAACCCACATATATTTTAGGATGACCCAGACATTTACTTGCCCCCAAGAATTTGGATTGAAAGTGATGCAGATGTTACTGCTCCATTGATGATTGTAGCAAGACAGAAAAAAGAAATGATTTCTTGGCAGCTGCCCCTAGAAATAGAAGGCACAAATGGTGAAACAAATGAAAATTATACATCTAGAACTATGTGCCATGATATTATTAAACAATATAGATTTGCAGGTAAAGATAATGTGTTATTTTTTGGATTATCTCTTTCCCAAATGAATTAAAACCTTTATTAACAATTATTAAAAACTCAAACTAGCAAAATCTCATTGTTTTTTTTATAAAAGCGTATACCATTTGTATTTTCTATTTACAGGAAGTAAAATGAAAGTAAAACAAGAGAATGTCATTGTTTCTGTTACTACTGCATCAGTTTCCAATGTAAGCTTCACTATAAGAGTAGACAATCAAAAGAATTTTACTCTGGAGTTAAATAAAGAAATAGAGTTTGATATTACTCCAAGTGGACCAAGGTATGTCAAGTATTATACATTTATTTTTATATTTAGTAGTTTTCATTATATTTTTCATTTACTTAAGTACTGTAGAAATAGTTAATAATAAGCAAGATATCTATATGAATATCAATAAGATTTTTATGGGAATATCAATATTGATATTCCCATAAAAATCTTTCTCAGTTATTTTCTGCATAAAATTTGTGTACCTAGTGACAAAGCTGAGTTGAACTGCAACCTTGAACTACCAAGAAGCAGGCATGGTTTCCACATTATGTTGCCAACTTATTGTCTTTTCTATTCTCATTCTATCTATCTATCTAATCAGCCTTAAACACCCACTCTTGGGCATAGGCCTCCCCTGTTAATCTCCATTGGTCTCTATTTTGGGTGATCTGCATCCAGTCCTTTTCTGCTGTTCCATTCTCATTATGAATCAAAATCAACTTACCAATCATCATTCCAGAAGATATTTTTTTATGTTAAATATTGATTTAAAAGCGTCTTTTCAAAAAGTGGAGCTTGGAGAGGGGGATCAGCCAGCAACATTTAAAAGTGAAAATGAAGATGTTTTACTGGAGTGATGCATCTGTCAAAGAATAACCCAGGTGTGTAATTCCATCTCAGTGAGGACAGAAACCTCCTGTAGAGCAAAATCTGGCTTAATCGTGATGTTCAGTATGTATATGGACTGTGAAAACATGTATGGCCTGGCAATCTTTGGGCTTGAAGAGTTTTCAGCAGGAGGTGTCAGAAAAGTAGAAAAGTTACTACAGGGATAACTGATTTGTGGCAGACAAGCATTTAGAGTGACATCATTTTTTAATCCTTCGATGTTAATTCTTCCTACAATTGCAAAGCAAAATCCACCAAAAATTGGATTGTTCACCCATAGACTTCAGTTGGGTTCTTACCGTCATAAGACAGTTTAGTTTAACAGTACTGATGCTTCATTGCAATAGTAATCCTGCTCAGTACGAAAATAACCATAGGTTCAGACATTTGCGAGGTAATAGCTCGAAGCTACCATATGTGGGATTATACATGAACGCCTCTAAGGCTGTATCATTTCTAGTCAAAAGATGGCAATGATGTCGAAAGGCTCAAAACAATTTAACTTTACTAGGCAATTATAGTTCACTGTGATTGTCACACTAGCCCTTTTCTGTTGAGATTATTGCTTTAGGGAGTGGTAGATAGTTACAAGTAGACCAGATCTTTAGTCAGTTAAACATGATTATAATTTTTTCGATATTATAACTCAGAATGATATACATATCTAGCAGGGTGGTGTATACATTTTAACTTCTTTCGACTACAAATCTGGTATATAATTGAGATATGTTTATTGCACGAGCTAAAGACTATTTAGAAAAATAAAATTACATACATTTCTATTTCTCTATGTGTATTCATCTAAGTTGATGTCTTTAATTTACCTATCTACGCCTTCTCTGCAGCTTCTTCTTGGTCTTCCATGTCTTCTACATCACGGAGATATCAAATTTAACAGTTGCTTTGGTAGTCTTGGTAATCTTCTGTTATCCTCTGTACATGACTATATACCATATAAGTTGCTTTTGTCCTAATATCGTCTAAAATTGTGATATATTTTCATTATTTCTCTGATACAGTCATTTGTTATTTGTTCTCTCCTGGACTTTCGTGCAGATCTTTGCCAAAATTCCATTTCTGTAACTTTTAGCATTTGTCCTGTTCTAGTTTTTATTTGCTAGACTTCACTGCCTTAAGTTATAATTTCCGGATTGTGGTGTTATATATTTTTTGTATTAGCTTATATGTCTTCCCATTAGTATCGACATGCTCTCTATCCTGTATTACGGGTCACGTCGATCTTTCGGCTCTGAAACAGCTTGTTCTCTTATACTTGTACTCTTGATAATATTTTTTATATTACCCCATATACCTGACTAAATGTGCTTGTGACAGCTATTCCTGGTAATTTTCATTTGTTTTAAAATCTACATACTAGAAATAAATAATTGTCACATATATGAAATCATAACTAACTTATAAATGTACTTGAAAAAGTTTGAGATAAAAAATAATAAATATCTTAATTGGTTGAATCATTGTTAATGTTTAATATTTAAATAAAAATACTAAAATTTGGTATGTTTTGTTATGTATGTAATTTGGTATGTAAAAAAAATGTTATAAGATTGCCTGTGAGAAAATTGGAATAATTGCATAGAGATCTTTTATTCTAGTAACCTGATTGTTGTAGCATTTTAGTCAAATTATGTTACTCTTTTTAATGTGCTTTGTAACACTGTATTCCTAAACGCATTTTAATGCACAAAAGGTGGCATAAACGCAAATCGTATGTTGATAAACAATTTAACATATACCGATACACGGTTAAAATTCTGATGACCCCGATCGTGAAGTCCGTTTCATGATTATGCTCTGAAGATGATGTGAACTTTTAAAGTTTCCGATGTATTAAGTCCATCCTTCTTTTTTTGTTGGTTGTAAAGTTTTCAATGACTTGTGTGATTTGAACCTCGTTAAGATACTCAGTAATCATCCCATCATGTATAAATGTTGCGTCGTCTCCAAAAATAATCATAAACAGTAAAGCATGGTCTTCTAGAAACTGTGTGCGGTACCTATGCATAGTCAATGTCTCATTCCCGATAAATACTAACTCTGTGTGAATGTCAAACATGTTTTCCCATACCACAAATCACCCTCCACCAAATAGAAGTTGTTCGACAACACATGCTTGCGCATATCTCTCGCCTGGATGTCTCCACACTCTTACACGTTTGTCTAAGGCAGTAAGACAGAATCTCGATTCATCGGAAACGGGAAACCAATAATCGACTCCAATCCTGTATTGTCCAAGCCAATAGTTCTCGAGCAAATTCGGTGTTTATAGGAAAGCGGCGGTCCAGTTACTCTAGTTGCATAAGATAAACCAGCAACATGAAGTCCCTTCTTAACTGTTCATTCACTTACGTTTACATTTCTCACTTCTTGCAGATGATGTCGAAGGGAAACCACCGTGATTATTCAGTATCTCAAAACACTAGAAATGACAGAGTGGTCGTCTCCTGTCTGTAATTCTGTCTCGTTCTGAACTAGATCTTCGAGTAAGCAGACTGGCCTGCTCGTACCGTCTCCATACTCTTTGCACACTCTTGAGACTTACACCAACGTTTCTCGCAATTTCGCATTGACCGTGGTCATCTTATAACGCCGCCACAATGCTTGCCTTCACAATAGAATTTATGTTTATTGCAATATACTGTCAGTGACATCATTATACAATCTAATCTATCTATCTAATTAGTCTTCTTCGGTCCATCTTTGGACAGAGGCCTCCCCAATCCTTTTCCATTCTTCTCTGTCTGTCGCTACAGTCATCCACCTAGAGCCCACGTGCTTCTTGATATCATCT